TTTGTTTGTGATCACTTTTCAAGTAAGGTCTGGCTCTGTGCGTGAGTGTGCACGTGCGGGTTTGATTCCACCTCCAGCGGGGGCAGGTCTGTGTCTGTGTGTGTGTGTGTTCTTGGACCCAGTTTAAAATCAGGTGGCCAGCTGGGTGCGATGGCGCTCGCCTGTAATCCCAGGGGCCAGGAGGCTGAGGCAGGAGGATCTGGAGTTCAAGGTCAGCCTCAGCAAGTTATCGAGGCCCTAAGCCACTCAGTGACACCCCGTTTCTCAATACAAAAAAGGGCTGGGACGGGGCTCAGTGGTAAAGCGCCCTGGATTCAATCCTGGTACCAAGAAATCAATAAATCAATAAAGTAAAACCAGGGGGTCAGAGGTGGTGTGTTGGGTGGTCTCCCGGGGTTTACAGCCTCGCAGGGGGTGCCAGGAAGGCAGTGAGTGCTGGTGACAGTCCCCGTCTGGGTCACTGCTCCTGAGTTCCTGCTCCGGGCTCCCGGGCCAGTCCCAGGTGTCCCCACAGCCCATCCGCCCCGGGCCTGTAGGGGGACGCTGTCCACCGAGGCTGCGGCTGCCCAGGGGGCCCGAGCACAACTTCTCCCCAGCCGAGGCGCAGGACCGCTCCCCGCTGGCCACAACGCACGAGCCCTGGGTGGTCCCAGCCTCACCTGCAGGAGCCGGGCAGGAACGTGGGCTGGGCCTCGGGGGCTGCGCTAGGATCAGTGGCCCGAGAGCTGGTCCTTCAGCAGGTGAAGCAGGACAAGGAAAACCCAGCCTGAGAGTCGCAGGGGGCGGTGATCTGAGCGCAGAGTTGCCTGGGGTCGTCCGATCCTCGGGCCCGGGATCCCCGCACGATCCCCACACGGGCGCTGGCTGTCACCGAGCGAATTCATGGCAGGATTCACAGCCCAGCAACTGGAGGCTGAGGCAGGAGGATCCCAAGTTCCAGGCCAGCCTGGGCAGTTTAGCAAGACCCTGTCTCCAGGTGACATAAAAGGGGCTGAAGGTGTAGCCCAGTGGTCGGACGCCCCGCTCCGTTCTCCAGTGTGTGTGTGTGTGTGTGAACAGTTCTCCTCTTAAATGGCGGCACACACCTGTCATTCCAGGGAGGCTGAGGCAGGAGGACGGCAAGTTCAAGGCCAGTCTCAACAACTTAGGTCCTCGGTAACTTAGCAAAACCCTCTTTCTACATAAATAAATGAAAAGGGCTGGGAATGTAGTTCAGTGGCAAAGTGTCCTTGGGTTCAATTCTCAGTACCCCCCCCAAAAAAATCAGCATTAAATCAAACAGACATGAGGTTCCCGACACGGTCCAATGCAGCTATAATGTCACTTGTGTGGTTCTCATAACTAGAAAACACATTGCTCGAATATAATTATGAGAAAACCAGTGAACCCCGGTGGAGGAACCGTCTACAAAACAGTTTGTATTTACTCTTCAAAAATGTCAATATTATGAAACACAAGGCAAAGCCGAGGAATCGTTCCAGATGAAAGGAACCAAGAGAGACCAGGCAACCAAATGCAGCGCCTGATTCTAGAGTCCTAGATGGGGGGCCGGAGGTTCTGACAAGCACATCACTGGGACAATGGTGAGATTTGGCGGGGACTGAACCCGTGGTCCTTTACCCCTGAGCTACATCCCTCATCATTTTAATTCTTTAAAATTTTGAGATGGGCTCTTGTAAGTTGCTGAGGCTGACCTCAAACTTGCCATCCTCCTGCCTCAGCCTCCCAAGTAGCTGGGATCACAGGTCTGCACCACCACACCCGGCTGGGTGAGACTCGTGTGTGTGTGTGTGTGTGTGTGTGTGTGTGTGTGTGGTTTTCCTGATAATATTGTAACAATGTTCAATATTTTGAATTTGTAACTGAAATATGGTTGTATAAGGGAATGCATAAGAGAACAGAGGCTCAGGTCCAAAGTGGGCGAGGGGCTTGCTCTCTGCAACTCATCCTCAAATGGCTCAGGAAAAAGAAAACAGCAAAGGCCGGGAGGGCTGAGGCCCGCGGTGGGGGGTCGGCTGGGTGAAGGGTGACCTGAGCCTTCCACGCAGCTCTGTTCTAGGTTTGAGATTGTTTCAAAATTAAAAAAATAAAGAATAAAAGCAAGCGAGCGAGTACATGATGCAGTGCTCTTCTCCTCTTTCAGAGAGGAAAAAAGAAACGGCCACTTTTCCCACGGCAGACATCTCCGTGGGCAGTGAAGTGCTTCCCAGTGTTCCTCAGACAGCGCGTGTGACAGTGTTTGAGGATGTCACAAGACACACTCTAAAGTCGGAAACAGAAGCTGCCTCGCCTGAGAGAGGCCCTGGGTTCCACTCCCAGCACCAAGAAAGAAGGAAGAAAAAGGGATCAGAGGGATTGTCGACATCACCGTTTTGTTTCGTGAAACTTCAGTTGTATGTAGTTACGTGTGGTCCCGAGTGTCTACACCACGCACAGCTGTGTGCGTTAATGCGTCCCTACTGTGTGCTGCTGTTTTTAAAACATCTGGAAGCCGTGATGCTATGGTTGCCATCTGCCCGTCAGCTCTGTGGGCTGTCTGTGGTCCTGCATAATTAATAGCAAACACATCCATCTCAAGTGTCCCAATTTAGATTATAATCATTCTTAAGCGGCTTTAATTCCATTTTATAGGACAGTGTAAACGATAGACAAAAAAAAAATATGTAGAGCTTTTTCTGGTTTTGTTTTGGTACCAGGGATCTAACTGTTGAGCCGCATCCCCAGCCCCTTTTACTTTTTATTTAGAGACAGGTCTGGCTAAGCTGTTTAGGGCTTCGCTAAATTGCTGAGACTGGCCTGGAACTTGTGATCCTCCTGCCTCAGCCTCCTGAGTCGCTGACATTACAGGCGTGTGCCACCATATCTGCCAACACATGAGCTTTTAAAACATTCTTTACCCATGTCAGGTGCATTGGTGCCCACCTGTAATCCCAGAATCTTGGGGATTACAAGTGCTAAGTCTCACAGTCCCTGCACATCGCCCCCGGGAGGCACCACACTGCACCTTCCCTCCCACCGACACCAAAGACTGAACTTGGTTTCCAAAATGTCTTCTGACAGCCAGTCAATGAGGGAGTTCAGGAGGCACAAGTGGGTTTTACCTCACAGGAGACAGCCCCCATCACTTGGTGACATGCTGTCCCAGGACAACAGCAAGGACTGTCCTGAGAGCAAGGATGTCCCCGGCTTCCTGAGAAGCCGACTCAGTCACCGAGACACTTGCGGCTTCACCCTGAACGTGAGCCTCTCAGCCAGCTGAGGCGGGGTCACCAGCCACAGCACCAGCTCTATTTTGGGGGTCGAAGGAATGTTTCAGCTCCTCACCATGGTTCAGTGGACCCCGAAACCCAGAATCAAGTAACTGGTGTTGACTGGCCCCCCTCAATGAGGTGAGGGTTCTGTGCACACAACCAACTTACCCAGGGGCTGGTTTTTAAGCTGGGGTTGGGGGATCAGGGTTACCTTCTGACCTGGTTAGGGAAGGGCTGGTGGGAAGATCCATCGGCCAACTGCAGGGTGACAGACTCAGAAACAGTTGAAGAAACGTGGAGTGCACACTCATGATCCCACTTACTCAGGAGGCTGAAGCAGGAGGATCTCAACTTCAAGGCCAGAACCTGCAACTTATTTTGAGAACTTGTGCTGGAGGCTGGGGATACAGCTCAGTTGGTAGAGGGCTTTCCTCGCATGCAGAAGGCCCTGGGTTCACACACACACACACACGGTGCTGAAGTGCAGGTGAATGGTAGAGCACTGGCCCAGCACTCGTGAGGCTCTGGGTCTGAGCTTCAGTACTGAGAAAACAAAACAAAAAATGGCTCAAGAATGTCGTCTACCTCAGGCCTTTTCGATTTCCCAGTATGAACTCGATTAGATGCATAGGGGCGGAGTACAGAGGTGGTGATGAATGGCACAATAGCGATCTGAAAGTCAGGAGACACACTCTCCTGTCAGACTTCTGGCTCCAACAATCAGGAAGAATGCTGGTGCCAATGCTGGGGACACCCTGTGTCATTTCTATGCTATCAGAATTATCTATTTTAAATGTCACCTTCCGTCAGCCCACACAGGTACCCACACACAGGTGCAGTAGATGCAGACCAACCAGGTGTTCACCTCTCAGTGGTCACAGTAGGGAAGCAGGGACCTTGTCATGACGCAGTGTCCCCTCTACCCAGCTCCTAGGGTGGGTGCTCAGCATGTATCTGTTGGATGATCTCATATAATTTCAAACAAGAAAGTAGCCTTTTTGCAAGTCTATCTTTATTTGTAAAAAATAATATACAACTAAAGCTAATTTGATTTTTTAAAATCAAAGTTCATTTAGTGATAATGTATATTTTATAATAAAATTGTAGTAAAATACTGACATTTGATAGTTTAAACAAAGTATTATTCATGTAAAAATCATGTTATATCATGTAAAATTTAATTAGAAAATTCATAGTTCACAAAAGTACATATATTTTGTTGACAGCTTGAGAACATTATCATAAACTTACTTAAGATACACAACAGAATTCACAGTTAGGCTTGACATTTAGTACTGTAAGATTTCACACTGGACCCACTGATATTTGTGTTAATAAGGTGCACTTGAAATAACCGATTCAGACTACCTACCAATGAGTTGATATTTTATTGTATAACCAATCTATTGGTTTTACAATATGTCTAGTAATCAATTATTCCGCCAATAATTTAAAAGACAGAGATTGAGTTGAAAACACCAGACATGTCTCCTTAATGGGATAGTTAAAATAAAAAGCATTAGCAGCCTTGATCTCCATTTTCATGAACAGATACAAGATAAATCTGTATTTTACAGTTAAAATTTGTACAAAAGTCAAGCCCTGAAGTATTTTTTCCCCAAGAGAAAAGTTCTAATGTTAAAACTTTGTTTAAAAAAAAAGGGGGGGGGGTGGGGGGGGAGGGCGCTGAGGGAGAGGGAGGGGAGGGAGGCAGGGGGGGGGGGGGGGGGGGAGAGGGAGGGAGGGGGGAGAGGTAGCATGTAAAGTGTTCTTACTTAATGTTGGACCCTCGCACCAACCACCTTCTGTCAAACATGAATGGAACCTTCTGCGTCTACCGATCTCTTGCCGCTCAAGAGTGCAGTTTCTAAGACTCGGAATGTCAGAGCAGGAATGCCGCTGCCAAGGGGGCAGATGGCCACCGTGCGGCCAGCTGGCGGTTTCTGGGTGACATGCCTAGTGGTGATGTGAACAGCACAGTGACGTCCTGAGTCCAGTGGTTGCACTTCCTCAGGACTTGGCTTCTTCATATGCTCCACCATGAACTGAGAGCGTCCTTCAACACGGAGTCATTGGGATCTTCATTGTTTTAACAGCACACAATTGTCACAAGTGTGTCCACACTAGCCCTACGAAGGTTGATCAATAAATAACTCCTCGAGCCCCAGGGGCTCCCGGCCTGCATGCTCGGCGTCTGCACGCGACCCAGCGGGACCAGCCAGGGATGAAAGCAGCAGCTTCTAACCTGTCCTAGTTGATGGGTTGGAAAGTAATAAATAGCCACGAGCCCGACCTGCTGTGGACGAGCACGTCTCATAAAGTGAAGACAGTTTCCTAGAAATCCCAAAGGAAAACCCAACTGTTTTTGTATGAAAGTGCACGTTTGTCCTGTGTGTGAAGACCTTTTTAATCCAGGGTGACCGTACCAGGGAGGACGTGGAAAGCCATCAAAGCACACCCACGACAGAGGGAGCGACTCCAGTGGGACCTGGAAAGAGGCCCGGCTGGGGGACAGCTCCTAGGTGGCCAGTCATGGCACTGACTTTTAGAGCATCCGTCCTGCCGCACAGAACCAGTCTGCACCCAGGAGGGTGCGGCCAGGCGAAGCCACCGTGAGCAGCTGTCACAGCCTCAGGACGGGGGACGGAGCTCCTGTGCTGTGCAGTCTGGGAAGCAACTCCTCGAAATGGCGACCGGCTTCTCAGGAACCGGGGTAAAGAGACATTTGAGAAAACAAGTGGTTAAAATTAACAACAGAGGAACAACACTGGAAAAAAATCAAAACATAATATCGGGAACAGAAGGACTGAGGTCCCCAGTGTACAAAGGAGGCCACCAGCCCTCCTCACATCAAATTTAAGAACATACAGGGAAAACCGACGGGGCTCTGCACAGCAGGTTAAACATGCAGCCACTTCAAGCAGAAATGACCCAGCGCCGCACGCAGGTCTGGGAATGAGCGCCAACGTCCAGTTCTCCAGAGAAAAACACAACAGCACGTGATTTCACAAGCCAAGGCCCCTTGTTTTAGACTTAAATCCAGCTCAGAGTCCCGGGTTTCTCTCAGCAGCACTGCCCACTTTAACCCCAGGTCAAGGCCGCAGCCCTCTTCCATGCCCACCCCTCGCCTGGTTCACAGGTATATGCTCCAGTCCCAGCCAGTCCCCAGTCCCCAGAAAACCTCAGCTACGGCTTCACAAGGTTATGATTGTCCCATCTTCCTCCAAGAGTTTTTGATCTGGAGCTCGGGTTTCGAATTCCGTGTTTGTGCCACTTGCTACGGGTGCTAAGCTCACGTCGTGGGAAGGAATAAAACCGTTCTGCCCGGACTCAAAACTGAGTTCTATCTGTGTTAAGGACTCCAGGCTCTCGGCCTCGGGGACGGCCTTGGGAATCTGCTGCGGCACGCCGTTGTCCTCAATGACGATGTCGTCTTCATCGCTGTCCTCGTCCTCTGGCTCGAAGCTTGGTTCCATCTGCTGCGGGTAGCCCACAAGGCTGTTATCGGTGGACTGGCCGGAGCTGCCGGAAGTCCGACTGTTCCTGACAACGTTGTTCCTCTGGTTCGCTGGTCTCACCGTGATGATGAGGTTGCGGCTGTTGGCGATCATCATGTCAGTCACTTGGTCAAGACTCTTCCCTGAGACTTCGATGCCGTTGACCTCTAAGACCTCGTCATTGACAGCCAGCAGTCCTGTGCTTTGAGCCAGACCCCCTGGGACGAGCCTGGAGATGAAGATCCCAGGGACCTTCTCCAGCCCGTGTGGCGTGACTCGGACACTTGAGCCATCCCGGATGTAGAACCCCAGGGGCTTCTCGGTGCCGTATTTGTACAGACGAACCCGACGGTGTGTTTCCGGGAGAATGTCCACGTCTATGATGGAAGACACAGGCCTGAAGTCCTGGGGCATACTGATGACTAGGTGTGGCTTTTTTCTGTGGTTGTCAGGACGTAACACATTGGTCAAAACGTTCTTCTTCTTTATCAGCGTGTCGGTACCGAAGGCACTGTAGTCTGCTTCTTCTGTTTAAAAATAAAATAAAATAGTTACAGAGACACTGTAGAAATGATCATTTGCCGCAGTTCAATCTGTACAGGGAGGACAACTCGGATGCACTTGGTACATAAACTAAATACCACATCATTCTAGTCAGGACATCACAGTGCCATGTGCCACACCCCAGAACAGCCACTAGGGGGCCTCTCGATCTCACATCACAAAGTCACCTGAGGTCTAGTTCAGCTTGACACACGGCAGTGACTGTGGCAAACAAAGTTCTAATAGGTCTTACAAAGGTTTTTTTTTGTTTGCTTGTTTGTTTTTAAGATGGGTCTAACTGTGTTGTCCAGGTGGTCTCAGGCAATCTTCCTGCCTCCAGAAACACAGGCGGAGGCTGCTCTGCCCGGCAGCACATGCATTCTTTACATATCATTTTAAATCAGCTACTTTAAATATGTTTTTCCTTCATTTGTTTAAAAGACTTCCAATTTGCATGCTTATATTCCACTCAAGGACACAAGAGGGATCCTTGATTCCCAAGTAAATCAATTCCAAGCAAAATCCAATAATCAACGCTGGAGAGGCTCTGGGGGAAGAGGAGCCCTAGCACACTGTTGGGGGGACTGTGAATTAGCACAGCCACCATGGGGAGGAGCCCAGAGGCGCCTAGAGACCAGGTCCGGAGCCACCACACGGCTCGGCCGCTCCACTCCTCAGTCTTGAACCTGAAGAATTGCAGTCCTCTCACTTCGGGGACACACACGCCCACGCTCACAGCAGCACAACTCACAACAGCCACACCAGGGACAGCCCAGGTCCGTCAGTGGATGAATGGATAAAGAAAGTGTGGCACTTACACCCTGGAGTTAGATTCAGCCACCAAGAAAATGAAATTGTGGCATTTGCAGGAAAATGGATGGAACTTGGGAACATTATGTTAAGCAAAATGACCCAAACTCAGAAGGTCAAGGGTCAGATGCTTTCCCTCCCAGGTGGAAGCTACAGAGGAAAGAGGAGAAGAAAGGTGGCGCAGGGGAGGGCCAAGGGAGGTTGTCTCATGGAAACTGAAGGGAGATCAACAGAGGACAGGGACAGAAGGAAGAGGGGAGGGAACCGGCAGACACGGGGTCACACAGGCCTAATGGACCGTCCTACGTGAGCATGTGCAAACCTGTGACGACAAATCCCACCACGTACAACTACAGTGCACCAATCAGATATGGAAACAAGAACAAATCAAGTGGTTAGAAACAGGGCAGATAGTGTGATTAAACGAAGCTGGCGTGTAGCAAATACTTTGGGATTTTGATCTGCAAATGACTCTCTCCCTTGGTTTTGTATAGGTTTTTTTTTTTCTTTTCTTTTGGGGGGGTGGTACCAGGGATTGAACTTGGGGCACCTGTCCACTGAGCCGCATCCGCAGCCCTATTTGTATTTTATGTAGAGACAGGGTCTCACTGAGCGCTTAGCACCTCGATTTTTGCTAAGGCTGGCTTTGAACTTGCACTCCTCCTGCCTCAGCCTCCGCGTGCGGCACCACCTACGGGTTCCTAATCTTTCATTTTCCCAAAGAGGCAGAGGTATAGATGGGAGCGGTAGCACAGGCCTATAATCCCAGCAGCTCAGGAGTTCGCAAGTTCAAAGCCAGCCTCAGCAACTTAGCAAGACACTAAATTTTAAACGTGGGGGACTGGGGATGAGGCTCAGTGGTTCAGTGCCCTGGGTTCAACTACTGGTATCAAAAGAGAAAAAAAAAAAAAAAATGAGGCCGAGGGTAAGATTTTTAACTTTTCTTCAGTGTGTGAAAGACAAAGTGCGCTGGCACCCGTGTCACAGTGACAGACAAGGAGCCCAGGCTCTGGCAAACCCGAGAGCTTCTGCCCACGTGAGAAGGCACAGCTGCGCCGCAGCCCCGGGCAGGCTTTCTTCACGCCACAAAGCCTTGTTTCCAGGCGAAATCTCATTTAAAACATTAATACCCGAATAAGAAAATACCTGTTTGCACTGAATTACAAACCTGGGGTTTGAGGTTATTCCTAAAGTCATCAATTTGTAATCTCTGACCTAAACTAAGGGAAAGAGGGGCCCCTGACCCAGACATTGTTCAACCCTGCAACTGAAGGGAGACGGTCTACAAGCAAAACATCAGAGGGTCAGGAGGGAAAAAGAAACAAAGTTAACAGCAAGAACAAAAGTTGAAGCCCTATCTTCAAAATAACTGGAATGAGGAGACTGGCGCAGCACGTGGTGCACTCGGAGGCTGTGGCAGAAGGATCCCAAGTTCAACTCATGGAGACCCTGCCCCATAAATAGAAATAAAATAAAATAAAAAAGGGACGTGGCTCAGGAATAAAGCACCCTGGGTTCAATCCCCAGTACGGCGGGGGAGGAAGGCAGAAGGTTCCCTGATCCCCAGAAAGAACTAGTCTGAAATTCTGGTCTCCAGGAAGCAACAGGCACTGCCTTCACCACCCAGTGTCCTGCTCTGTCTCCATTCTGACCCTCGGCAGTGACCATCACCTTCATCAAATAAATTACATAGAAAGAACTGAACCAGTGGGCCAGCACGCCCAGTCCACAGCATGGTCACGGCCTGCGTCAGGGCACAGGGACACTTGTGTTCTTTTCTGATGCCACATGAACTCTTCCAAATCTACTTTGAGGTGAATGTGTAAGACTAGGGCCCCCACTTGTGGCACTCCCCCCACCGGGACTCTCTTGGTTTTTAAGGTATTTACACTGTGTTCTTACAGAAACCGAAAGTTACTTACAATTTGGTGTTGGAAACAAGTCTGCTGATACACGAGGCTTGCTTCTCTGCAAATTTTGGCTAAGACTTTATTAACATTATCTTCTACTGAGTGTGTTTTCTCAAACACACACACAACACACATACACACACACACTTTAAATTTTACAACAACCAATGATGAAAGCCTACACAACATTTATAAGGGAAATTCCAGAGTACAGACTGAGAACAAAGCCAAGTTGCCCACAAACCCGCTCATGGGAAACCTGACCAAAAAACCTCCGAATCTGCATAATTTGGCATCGCATCCCGACTCCATTTGAATGCTCTCTGCTAAATTCTCAAAAGCAATATGCTCCAGCACAAAGGCACCTTTGTTCTCCCATCTAGCTAATCAGTTTCCAGCCACTGGGAAAGAAATATTTTGGCAGAAAGCCAGGGTGCAGGGTGTTAGTGTAAAGTGTAAAGGTGAATGTCCACCAGGAACCCAGCGACTTTCTACGAGTGTGCACATGGGAGCACTCAACTCGGGGCGAGGCCGGAGTCTGCGCACCTGACGCACAGCGAGCCTCCACTGTATACAGCCAGATCCCACCACAGGCAGGACGCAGGCCCACGGAGCAGAGCTACCAGCCAGCATCACCGAGCCAGCAATCCCAGCCACCTACAAGGAACCAGGACCCACCTGGAAGGCCTGAGCAGCCAGTGGACGTGGCCACGCTCACCAGGCCAGTCCCTGAGGCTGACCTACGGGGAGAACGACAGGGCCTCCCTCAGCTCTTACTCCTTCGCATTGGTTCTGCAAAGCCTGCTCACCTGAGCCAGAGGAAGTAAGGGCTACTATGAGCAGCAGGCGTAGAAACAAGAAATAAACTCTTGTCGTGAACAAAAAGCAAATCTGAAAACAAGAAACAGCTCTCCATGAACCCCACTGGCCCCACAGGGTCAGACCAGCCAGCCAATCAGTGACCATGCGCAGTGAGGGGTCACGAAAGCCAAGAGGTGCCCACTGGAAATTCAGAGGGAGACAGGAAATAAAATTACTGTTTAAAACGTTCTAATCCAGGGGTCTGACAGTTGTTCCCATCAAGGGTCACAGAGACCTGTCTTAGGTACTGCGGTCCCTTGCAAAAGCAGCCATAGGCAGGACATAGAAGGAAGAGGGAAACTTATTTACAGAACACAGCCGCAGTCCTTAGTTTACAACTGCTCTAACGCAAGTGGTTAAATAAATACATCTGGCAACCTTGAAAAGACTGAACAACACTTCAAGCAATATTCAAAATTTACAGATCCCTCCATTTCCCAGCATAGAAAACATTCAGTAAACCCTATATGCCAGGCATCGTGCTCTGTGGGGCAGATTCAGAGAACAAAACAGACATGGCACCTGTTTTCAGGGTGCTTACTGTATAAAATTGGAAAGGATGGTGACTAACAAATGTCAGATAACTACAGCATCACAAAGGCGCAGCTAGGAACAAACGTGTCACCCCGACCCTCAGGAGATTCTAGGCAGCCTCGCCAACCTCAACCTCGTGAGACCTGTCTCAAAATTTATTTTTAAAAAAAGCGGGGCTGGGGGGGGGCTGGGGGTATGGCTCAGCGACAGGGTGCTTGGGTTCAATTCCTAGCACCTCTCTCTCCACACACACACACACACACACACACAGGTGCTGAGGGCAGGAGCCTGGCTTGGTGCTAAGAAGATATTTCTTCAGGAAATCGAGGTTTCTGCTGAGACTAGAAAAGCCCAGGAGCTAATCAGGGAGAAGGAAAGAAGAACATTCCGGGCACAGGATGCAACAGAGAAGAGCCAGGGCAGGCAGGTGAAGGGCAGTCTAGGTAGGGGAGGGGGAGAGTGAGGAGTCCAGACCCCACCCCAGGGGGCTGGGGCAGCCACAGGCAGGGCCTCCAGCAAAGTGTTGACCTTTGTGGACTTTGCCTCAGGCCAAGGGAGGAAGCCAAGGATTTCAAGGGGAGTGATGGTAATCTCATCTGGTCTGTCCACAAACTCCATGTGGCTGCAAGCTGGAAGTGACTAGAGGGAGGACGGGAGGGTACGCAGTGAGTCAGGACGGCGCCTAGCTGCAGCAGAGGCGGTGAGGACGGGGAGCAGTTTTAACAGTCACGGTGACTGAGTGGAAAACAGGTATGTGCTCAAGGTGACACCCAGGTTTCTGTCATGAGGAACTGGTGTCACATGTTCAGATGTGACTCTACAATCTCTTCATTTCTGGGGTCATACCTTTTGTTAAACCATATTTTGTA